TGCTGCGTCATTCCTTTACACTGCATGTTGCTTCTTGCTTGAGGAAGACAGACGCTTCCAAGAAGTTGTGGCGTACATCAAGGACAACACCCTGAAGAACCCGGAGTCCATGTTGTATTCTTTGCACCGTTCGTCCTCGTCAAGGTCTTTTCTCTTCATGCCTTTTTCGACTCAAAAAAATTTGACGAGGTAATTCAGTGCTGAGTGCGTGTGCATCTGCTTGTGTGGGAATGGTCCAGGGACCCGATTGGGAGCGCCTCCTCAAAGTTGGTCTGGTTCTGGTTCTGGTCGCGTGTTTTCTCTCGCGCGCGCGTGATAACACCAAACACTTGGAACACGATTTCACATGTTTTTGCACAGGGACCAGCAGTGTCTCAAGCTCCCATAGAAGAGTCGTGCGATAAAATGGGATTAGCCTGTCGGAGTAAACTCGCTTGGGGGTTCACTCGGTTTTGAGTTGACTTGCGTGACATATTGATGTATGGTACATGGTTGAGTGCTTCTGTTGAACCAATTATGCTGCGTGGGTGGCATTGAACCTGTAAAAAAAGAAAAGGAAGCGTAAGTGTCCAAGCTCAAGAAGTCTTTGAGAAGGACGAATTCCCGTGGACGGTCCGTCCCCAATGATGCTGCAAGACTATTGACTAGCCCTGCTCCGGACATGTGCTGCATGGTCTTGCTGCTGTTAGAAACGTGCCAATAAAGAAAAATTGGCATAAATTAGCTGTGATCCAGCTGAGTACCTTCACGCCAATAAGGATCGGTCTTAGGATGTCTTAGGTGTTCGCGTGAGAGAAAAAGCCGGTTCCGATTGAGCTGCAGCAAACAGGACAAAATGCATGTTTTTCTAAATTCCCTTGTGTTTTGTATCTTCAAAGACATGCGGTTACACGCGGCCGGGCTTTTTTTGTTTCAGGTGGTCTTTGTAGGTTTGCAACTACCATGCCTTTGTTTCAACGAGCGGATTACTCCAACTACTTGCAGACAGATTGAAATCCGAACAACCACTGAAGGAATCGAAGGTGGAGCTGCTTTTCAAAGCTATCATATCTCAGTTTACTCAGTGCAAAACCTTGGTGTTTTAGTGTTGCACAAAATAAATGATACGCACTTTGCAGATTACTGAACTGGAACGCTCCACATTGGTTTTAGAGCACCTTTCGCCAGGAGACCAAACCTGAAATGAGTCGATGCCTTTCTGCCTACAAGGCTAGCTGAGCTTGAGCTCTATGGTTTTTTCCGTTTCAACCCGTTTCAGTTTCAAAGCGGAGAATGTTTCCGGGTTCCCAGGCAAGAAACTATGATTCAACAGGCTTGCTGTACAGCTCGTCACCTGCCATGCCCTCAGAATGCATTTGGGCGGTTCGTGCGCTCCTCGTCCCGACCATTCCAAACAGCATGGTTTTTTCACAAGAAAAGTGTCATGTGACATTAACACTGCTGCATGTTGATTGTGCCACACAGCATGTTTTGATGGTGTGTCTTTTTCTGCAAGCAGTAGTATTGTTGGAGTTCTCAATTCTATGCAAACTTGATCACAACTGTCTAACCACTTGGCGGCTGTCGCTGCTCATGTTGATTTGAATGTGCTCCTCTCTTCTGGCGGCGTGGTCTGTGTTTAGTCCTTGTGGTTATGTTCTCCCCTATCACGAGAGAGTTTGAACCCTGGGTTTGGCTCGCATGCCAGGTGCTAGTGTGAGCTGTCGACACATCCAGTGGAACAGAGTGAAACTGCAGCATGAAGCTTTGATGATAGCAGCAAGCCACAGGAGAAGGACGCTTTATGCAGGTGTTTAAGCAGGTTTGCTAGGTCTGAGAGCATCCAAACATTTATGGTACATGAAATTGTGGAACAACCCCGATGATGCTAGGGTCTTTCAGGGGAGGGAGCTGCTCAAAATTGGGACTGTTGGCAATTTTGGAGCAATTATCTACGTTGATATATATATATATACACTGTATATAGATGTATATAGTATGTATATATATATATGGTGAACAGGAGTATGTGCGCAGACTCTTGTTGATTGGGCTTGAGCAAATTCCATTGATGCCACTCGGCTCACTTCATGCTTTGCAGTTCTAGTGTTTCACTCATACCCTCGGTGTGAAATCGAGTCAAGCCGGCTCTTGCCTACAAGCAGAGACGCTGGGCAGAAGCTTCCTTTTGGTAATCTCACCCTTCTGTTGTTCTGCTTGCTGAACTGAAAGGTAAAGAGCCTAGCATCACGTAGCACTACTTGGCCATGCTGTGAGACTGATAAGAAGGCGCCGCTGGATTTGCACGGCCGTGCTTGACCGAGTTTGTACTGGGAGAATGCGGAGACGGATGCAAAAACGTTGATTTGCCAGGCTGGTCTTCAACCAAGCAGTGCGAACATATGTGACGCATGCTTGACCATTAGACACCATGAATACCTGATTGTACTTGTGATTTTGTGCTTTCTGTTGAATATAGCAGAGAATCGGCAACACTGTGTGTGAGCTACGTGGCAGCAAGGGAAGTCCTTGATAAGCGTGGCCAGAGAGTTCTTGAGAACTTCCCAGCAAGTGGAAGCAATGTCATGCTGGGGCGTCCTTCGGTCTTGCGAGTTGTTCCTAATAGCTTCTCGTTACTACTAGTAAGGCACTTGTTACTAGAAGCGATGCACTTGTTCCTAATATATATATATATTTAAACACATATTTTGTCTTGCGAGTTTCGGTAAGTGAACTCTAGTAAGGTGACCCATTATATCCCATTCATAATCTGAATGGGTCACTTGATGGGCTAGATGGATTCTGAACTGCTTATGTGAAATAAAATGTGAAATACAGTAAGTGTAAAGAAGGAAGTGGTGGATCCGTGGATGACCGATTGTCTATTAGCTGACTGCGATGCCTTTGCGGAGCAATGAGTAATCCATTCTGTTTGCAATGAGGGGTTCAGCCGTGTTGAGCATAAGTCCCATTAGCAGTCCTGCAGGCATGTCATGCAATTGACTCCAAAGACGAATGCACGCATTTTACTGTTTACCAAGAGGACAGCTCCAGTTTCTTGAAAGCACCAGTCTGTTTGGCCTTGTCGCACCTTGGAATCTCTTCTTCAGATCATGTGCGCATCCATTTGTTTCAAAACGATGGGGCTAGACAACATATTCCTACAGAAACCGTCTAGAGTCTAGTGGCTAGCGTGAGTAGAGGTGTAGCAGGGCGGAGGGCTGGTATAAGTGGCGTCCGACCCGGGTTCAATCCCTGGATGCAACACTACGCAGACAGGCGGGCCACTACCCGGTCACTACCCGATCCCTGCAGTTAAGGGGATGAGCTAGGGTGTGGACCGTTAAAACACAACAACAACAACAGCTGTAGCAGTGCGGATTGTACCAACACGGCTCAAAAGCCAGAGCAACATCCCCTGATTTGGCCTCTGGAGACACACTTATGTGCAGTCAGGTTGAGGAATCAATGACGAAAGACGCCACTGGACGCAAAAGGGCATGATAGGATCAATGTGCCAAATGTCACAATGTCGGTCGAGCGCAGGAAGATCATCCTGGCTGGCCCAAGGGCTTTCATACTTTTTTGTGAAACGGGTTGGTATGCAGAATCACCCAGGGAATGAGACGGAGGGATTTCCGACCTTTTACCATGTTTGCATGTTGCCTTTCACCAAAAACATTGATTTATTGAACATATGAGTGTGGGTAAGAATCCACCACCAGGAGAAGGCCAGTACAGTGCTCAGTACTTCAGGTATCTTGAGGTTGCTTGAGCTTGGGATCTTCCACTACGCTTCAATAGAATGTTTCCTGAGTTGTTTACGGTTGTCATTGGAGTCCCGGAAAGATCAGCCACTACCAAAGCCTCAATTGTTATTTGCGAGGCCATAGGCCTGTGCAGAGGACGGTATTGGTCGGCCAAGATGACACTCCTGGGCATTGGCCAAAGCGGTTACAGATCGCCGAGTTGAAAAAGCCAGTGCTCAGAGTCGGAAGAGCCTTTCCGGAGGCTACTGAACAACATTGGAGGCTACATTTGTGCAACATTCTCGTGGATACGACTCTTTAAACTGTGGGGGCCTTGTTTGCTTTTAGTATTTCGCTTGACAGCAGAGAATTCAGTCCAGAATCTTTTGCTTCAGGTGAAAGAACTCCCAACGTGGTTGCAACCTATTGTAGTGCAAACTGTTGATGACGGAAGCTGGATCAGGTGTATATAATATACATAGACTTTCAGTTGGCAGAACAAGATGAATTGAACGGATTCAATCTGAGAATGACTGCTTGGGCCATATACAGCACTAAAGTATTTGGAGCACCATAGCACAAGTATCTCTCATGTGCATACTAGTGCAGGTCAACCTGTTACAAATGCAGGTCCCTACTTGCCTGGCTGACTGTTCTTAACAAGCCTTGAAGTGTGTACTCAAGCACCACTATCGCACTCTTCTGAGCAGCTGAGGCTGCCAGGTTCATGTGCCTTTTACAGCATAGGCATAATATTAGTACAGGCCGGTATAGGGTTATAGAAGCCATGGCAATCAAAGTAGTTGTCTTTGCAGTTTCTATAGAGTGAGGTTATCTAAAACTAAATACATCTAAATACCATGGGTTCACAGTACAGGGGGGTGAGGCTTGGCTTGAAGAGTCAAATAGCTTTTCTTGGCATATTGAACACCCTGACCTAGCATTGACAACACCACTCCGGCTACTGTAGCATCAGAGGCCACACAATCTTACGCAGCTCGATTATTCTCTGAGTCAGCCTTAAATCAGCCAAAACTAGTGTCAAGCCCCCTGCATTTGCCACACTCGCACATGAATGCCACACAGTAATGAACCGGCGTTCTTTGAATTGTGGAAGCAGGCTGCAGCCTGATCAAGAAGGAAGCACGCGGGGCGAGACGCCGACCCGAAAGTGGCCCAAACACTAGAGGATCACTCTTTATGGGACCTGATGCGACCTTTTTCGAGTGTTTAAGTTGGTCAGCAACACCCACTGATTCATTCAGTTCAAGAGGGGGTTCCTTTATGTTCCTTTCACTTTTTCCCCTTGCTCAGTGCAGCACTTGGTCATGGATGAGGATCCTGAGGATCCTTGGAGCCTTGTGCGCCTAGCGCTGGGCTCCTTGGCCGGCGAGTCCTGGCGACTGAAGCAGGCAAGGTTTTGGAACATCAGGGTTTTGACCATGACTCAATCCTCTTTGAAGACCATGTTGATTTCCAGCAAGGGGCAAGTCCAAAACCTACCTCATAGTATGGGGTGCTGATGTTGGATGTGTTTGAGGAACAAAGCTCCTTTCGCTTATCCATGGCTTGGGATAGTTGAGTTTGTGCTGGGGTGCAGGAATGCCAGCGAGCTTTCCCAGGGTGGGACAGGGGGCCTACCGATCAGTGATGATCAATGACAAGCATAGCATGGCATGTTGAAGAGGTTTCGTGAGGAACTCACTAACTCACATGGAAAAAACATCAATGATTCATCCACTTAGTAGGGGAAATCCTGGAAAAAACACTTCTGGGTGACCATGCCTGTTTGTGGGAGTGTATACGATCCATGATTCTTGACTGGGATACTTCCCGAACGGTGTGGTGGATCTGTTAACGGGATACCCTGCTGCTTTTCACCTAGTACTTTCTCACAGATGGACGAACCTTTGGGATGCCGCAACACATGGATTTGCTTTCAGGTCCTGGACGTCCGGGACTTTAGGTTGGAGGCCATGGTCATTAGGTATTAGTTGGAGGCCGCAGCGTCCTGTCGAGGCCTTCCGCGAGATGTCCAAAGCTTGGAGACTCCGCACCCCACGGAGCACGTGGTGGAAGGAGCGAACAAAGAAGAGATCAGAGCAACGAAGAGCAAAGAACACCAACTCTAGGAGATAGTGGATGTAGATACTTCATGGATATATTGTAGATACTCTTTGTGCGGGGCTTTTGTTCCCAAGAGTTGCTTTGGAAAGGACGTCGTGGCAAACGGCTGTTGATTTCGCATGTTGCCCCGCATAGGTAATATATTTTCGCCTGATATTTTCAAGGCACGAGCAACCAAATCACACAGACACTGAAGGTTGAGGCATTTTGTTTGGCTGTTGGTTTGACAGAATCTGGACATTTCTGGAGATTAGTGACTTGCAGATTTGCTTTCACAATCAGTTTCACTTGTCCCGCATTTTTTGCGTTTGACTTCGTTTGCCTCACAGGAGTACCAACAAACTCAGACCTTCGACCAGTTTAAGTGTGCAGTGCCATTCCGACCCAACACAGTGTCCTCGATTCAGGTCTCGACCTTGGACGCGAAAGAAGACCAAAGGACATTTTAGTGGCCTATATAGTCATTTGTAGTACTCATCTTGCATATTTTTGCATATTTTACGTCTTGCAAATCAATCTAGGCTCCACTTTCTCATCAATCTAATCGATCCTTACTTTTTGGGAGAGTAGAGTCACTGACTCCTCTCCCCAGCTTCCGGGCATTCTTAGGTAGCCATCGTTGGGGACGAAGAGCTTGTTGCTCGACAAATGAGCCTGGAACAGATTCTGAAGCACGTTGAGGCAAGCATACAACTGAGAGAGGTGTTGATGTAGCTGCTTTCTTGAGAGCATTATAGAGCATTACGCTGCAACATCATCCCCTTTCGGAGAGGTCTTCTAGATTCAGTTGGTGAGAAACTATAAGAAACTTTGCATTTGCTTGCCAGGTCTTCATGGGCTTCAAAGTCATTCAGCGAGGCTGCCTCCTGCAGTGGAAGAGATTCTGGCATATCCCATTCCATTTGTGGGCAAGACATGAGTTACATGAGCATCTGAACGGAGCGGTGTTCGGTTGGCTTTGAGCATTCTATTTCTAAATAGGTGCTGCAAAGCTCAACCGGTTGGAGGCCATTGCTTCTAGGTTGGAGGCCATCGCCATTAGTTGGAGGCCATTGCTTCTAGGTTGGAGGCCACCGCTATTAGGTTGGAGGCCATTGCTATTAGGTTTGAGGCCATTGCTTCTAGGTTGGAGGCCATCACTATTGGGTTGGAGGCCATTGCTGCTAGGTTGGAGGCCATTGATATTAGGTTGGAGGCCATTGCCATCAGGTTAGAGGCCATTGCTTCTAGGTTTGAGGCCATCGCTATAGCTTGGAGACATTAGGTTGGAGGCCATTGCTTCCAGGTTGGAGGACAATAGTACTGTGGGTTGGGTTGACTTGACTTTTGCAGGAGGTTTAGAGAATCCAATGCCGCGGATGCGCTTGAGCGCTGCTGGGCAGCGCACTTCGGTTGATGGAGTGCCTCAAATTGGAGCGCATTATGTGCTGGCCTTTTTGCAAGGCTGGACGAAAACGCAAGTCCAAACCCGCTAATTACTGCAATCATGCTCTGTCATGCTCTCCCGAAAGTAGCAGTCTCATCCTTATCAGGTCTCTTTTTGGCTTTCCTGGTCACCACTCCTTTTCCTTTCAGTTCGTGGCCCATCTCCATTGAATCTCCATGCTTTGTAGGTCCTCTCGCCTCTCCAAACCTTTTGACTTCGGCAAGCCGAATATTTGCATGATTGCTCCAGGAGTACCTTTGTTCTGGAAGCGCTAGCATTTTCAGAGCTCATCTGATCCACTGAGCATTGTCAGGCTTTGTTGATCCGCGTGCGTGGGCATCCTAGCTGGACCTTTGCATGAGAAACACGCTGCTGAAGAAGATCCCGATCCGGGCATTTTACTTTTCAAACTTTAGTGTATGTGTGTTTGTTTCATGTTGTTTCCATTCAAAGATTTCGGAGGTCTTCATCGGTGTAATTACAGTTATATATATATATGGATATATATGGGATATATATATATATAACGACTGAGTGCTTTCTTCCAGTGAGCTCACCTTAGAGATAGGTTGACTTGGCACACCGATCACGCGATCCTTCCCCACCTTCCCGTAAGCCTCAACACATTTTTGCATGCAAGTCGTGGCCGAGGGCGTGTACTTTGGCAATTACCCCTGTGGACCTGTACCCACCGCAGCACTATGACTACGTCACTGGCATGACAGATTCTGGCAAAGATGATAGTGGCCACACAACATTTCGTCAAGAGTTGGAAGACACAATACTGTTGTGGAGAAATTTGATCATTTGATCAGGATCATTGGCTCGATTCTTGATTACAGGGGAGTCGCCTTTAGCAAGAATTGTTTGCGACACTTGAGATCTCACTACCAACCACTGTCATGTCACTTGCAGATTTTGGAGGATGGCTGTCTCCTCTACAGGTGTGAAGACTTGCTGCAAGCATCCAAACTTGGTGTGAGGACTGACCCTGGAGATCGACTGGGGCTTTACTCCAGCGCGAGGCTCTGTGGGCATCTTTGGGCCAAAGAAGATCCTTGATATAATACAATATAACATATATATATATACTGCAGGTCGTAGGTATGTCAGGGATGTCTCGCACTTTGTTAGAATCAAACCGGCCGCGCAACACCCAGCATTAAGTTTCCAAAACATCTAGGACTACCCTGCCCACAGGTGGGGGAGCTTCCTTGAAGAAGCGTGAGCTATCCTGCGTCCTACCAAGGATCTTACTTTAGCTACTAGCTACCTCTTCTAGCGGCCTTCCTCCTCGGGCTTTAAACATTCATAGAGATCATGGAGAGAACACGTTGTTGAATAAAATGTGCTGAGAAGTCCGGGAAGAGCAAAAGAGCAGCTTGGAGAATCGGCACCCGTGAAGCAGGTTTGGGGATTGCTGCGGACTTGCTGTAGTCAATCGATTGACATGCGACTCGCGCGACCTTAATCCCAGCTTGCTACTAGGAGCAAGAATGCCACTAGTAACAAAGGCAACAAAGGGCATCGCTACTAGGAGCAAGGATGCTACTAGTAGCGGATTTGTATCGATTTGCCAGGTATTTTGCCTCTCACCACGAGGACTTTGATTCTGGTCCCATGTTACTGCAATTCGCATAGGTTGGAATTGGACATTGTTCACTGGTTCAAGACGTGGAAAGATGGAAGAGTGCCCGAACATGAACGGGAATTGAAGTGGGTGTACACCTGTCTGAGCATGTCCTCCGGCATCGTTTTGCCAGGATGGGAGTTCAGACACGGGCACTTTGGAGCTAGGTGCGAGCACGGAGCGGAATCCACACCGCCCGTATGTATGAAGGAATGTCAGGTAAGGTAAGGTAAGGTCATGTCATGTCATGCCATGCCATGCCATGTCTACATACATACACAGACACGTGTATCTGTATGTACACATGTTGCCCTGGCTCAAACACACTGCATCGGACGCTCTTGCGAAACTGTCAATTGGGGGGTTCAATTGACGGATGAGTACAGGCGTCTCCACATCCACTGCGGTGCAACTCTCAGAGGGAGAAAGCAGAGACAGCAGAGAGAGAGAGAGGTTGGTGGTTCACAAGTCACAAGTGTTGATGATTCGCAAGTTGGTGTAGTTCAAAGATGTAGACCACCTCTCAACCCACCGCCTTAGTTGGGGTGCACTAGCAGATTGCGTTTCGGACTGCGTGCACCTCCATCAGATGGTGCGAAGCCGACGCCTGGAACTCTCAAAGGCTTTTGCTGCCAAGCTGCATTGAGGGAAGTGTTTTGGACGGGTTGCACCGGTCATTATCTGCCGCACTTGACATGACCTTGCTTAGACGCTTGCATTGGGGTGACTGGATTTATCACGACAACATATATGAACTGGATTAATGAGGAAGTCCGACGATTCTGATGCAATTCTTTATATTTGCAGTTTGATGCACGCCTAGGCCAAGCTGCTTTGTCGGGAAAGCCTCAAGCTTTGTGGAGCGCAAGAATGCAGCTTGCTGTGACCCAAAGATGGATTGCTTTGGCTTAAAGTGTGTTGATGAAGTTCAAGGCAGCGTCAAGGTGCGCATAGAAAATGGGCCTGCTGGTGCATGATGCTGCTGCAGGTACTGCCTCATGAATCCTCTTCCTGAGACAGATGGACACGTGCCAGAGGCAAGCTTTACAGCTTCTCTCCTGCTTGCCTTGTGTTTGTTTTCAAGAAAGTGGTTGCGTGAAGGTGTGAGGAGTACGCAGTTCCTTTTGGTTTTGCGGGGTCTGGCATGCTGAGCCTCTAGATGGCCCGTGAGAGACCATACAACGATCTTAGAGATGAAGGGCCTGGGCCTGGTGATGAAAGAGACTCATGACTCATGCCTTATCGCTATCAATTTGTTCTTATCTATTTCCGATTTATATAGTTTCTGGACTCATTTGCAGAGCACATTGGAAACAAGATGTGTGATTACTTTTCCAAGTTTTTGCTTTGCGAGTGCGAAAACGACTTTGTCAGATATCTGGATAGACAGTATCTCGTTTCATTTTCCGTGTTTCATTTTAATATGCTTAATTATACTCGTTCAGGCCATTGCCCAGCTTCCCTTCTCGCTGTGCTGCATTTGCCTGCGGAAATTGCAGTGGCTCTCACAGGTGCTTAGCCTTCCAATGAGCTGGGAATCCAGAGTTCGCTTAGATTGTTGTTCTCATGACTCTCATGACATTCATTTTCTGAGACTGTTTGGAGCACGAACTTGTATGCTCTAGTTATCTCTAGTTAAGCTTTGTCAGTTCTTTTTCTGAAAAGGATGGACCTGTGACTGGAGGTGGACTTGCTTGACCGCTACTCTCGCATCCCACCGATCATAAACAGCTGGTTCTTCGAGGAGCAAATCCGCAAAGTTCCGTACTGTGTCAGCTGTCAGAATGCCCTTTTCCATATACAATACACATATAACACATTCACAGATACATATATTTATATTAAATATAAAAATAATGATAACCTTGTCATTTTTGTTCCGTGAGGGGGAGGGAACGAGGGTTCTTGGACATGTGGGTCAGTTTGGTAACGTTGGTACCCTTCCGCCAATATTGAAAGTGGAGACCAACATTGGTTGATGGGTCGACAAGTCTTGACCCACCTGGAGAGGTAGAGGAGCTCATGGCCTATCAGTGGCCATGCCATCCACTTTGGAACATGAGTCGGAGTGTGCAGATATTGTTGAGATTTCCAGAGTACAGACACCTGTGATACTTTAGAACAACCTTTGTGCCCATGTGAAGGAGACACAGTGGCTGTGGGAACGCATGGTCCAGGCCGTGAAGTTTGAGAGGACATGAAAGATAAGCGTGTGTGTCCAGTGTTCTGTCTTGCGCTGGACATTTCGTTGCCACCTGAAGGCATTCCAGTGGCATTCCAGTCAAGATATCAAGACTTAAGGCTTTGTGTCTCCTGAGTATTTCTGCACCAAGGTTGGAATGCCGACTGCCGTTTGCTTGAGCACCCCGGATCCCACAGGACCAGATGGTTGGGTGACTGATTCTGTGGCAAGATATCGCTGCTACCTTTGAGTAGCAAAGGAAACACCTTTGCATATTTTTGCACCGACCTCCTAGCGTTTGAGAGGTTAGTCGCTATGAGGATCTCAAAGGCTCTTGAAGTTGGACGGGTGCCAAAAACCTTTGCACCATGTTGGCCAGGCTTGAAGTTCAAATTTGGGGTGCCAAAGAGAGGTTTGCTCCTCAGAAGACAGACTTGGATGTTTTGTCTCTCCACATGTGCTTCGACACCATGTGGTTCGACACCATGCTGTCCCTTTTGTTCTTTGGTGATGCAGTTGATGGCATGGATAGATGATGGCTCCAACATTTGACCCCTATAGGACAGCACATGTGCATCTTTGTGGCTGCCTGGCTGCTGTAACTAATCTCCTGAGGTCAGAAGCAGGATCGTGAAGGCTGGTCCAATACCGGGTCTCTAGACCTTCGATCCACAAGTTAGGCCTCTAGTTAGGCCTGAGGTTTGTCTGCAGACGTGAAGAATCATGAGAGGAGCTGAGAGGCGAAGAAAACCTGTTTGAGGTTTTGGGATACTCATGCCATAAAGATATATATATATATATTGATTGGTTATAGGCACGAGAGACGAGAGATAAGAACATGGAGTGCGGACGAAATGTCATTGGCAGCTGTGGCCTTGCCCGTCACGCGCAGATGCAGCAACTTGAGTTGATTTTTGCTGATGGCCGCGTGTAACACCGTGTGATCCTGCGCGCTGGGATTGCAAAGCCAATCCTGTTTCGTTTGTTGCTTCGTAGATGCCTCCCTGTGTTGGAGGCATGGCACACTATCCCTGGCAAAGCAAGGCATATAGATTTAAGATGCTTTAATCAATACAGACATACAGTAAACGTATGGACATGTGTGAAAGACAGTTAACAAAATTCTGTGAACGTTTAGAAAGACTGGGGTTGAACCGGTCTAATCCTTTGTTTGCATTCTTCTTCGTGCACTGCACGAGGGATGGTCACTTTATGTCACTGTTTGCTTTGCCAGAGTTGGCAAATCATTCTTCCCAGGAGCGGTAAAAACTGCCGCCAAGCATAGGGACTCGGGACCTGTCAGACTGTACATACTTTCCCGAGGCATGACTCTGGCCAAAGCAGGAGAAGAGTCAATGAGTCGCAGATGGTTGCAGATCCGTTCTTTCGGCTGTTCTTTTGGCGCAGCCAACTCAATGTGCAAATCATTTTAGATTCATGTAGAATCATATAGATGCACATTTCATGGAAGGGTTTGGGGTTCTTCACAAAATCCTAGGCTGAGCGGCAGTTTTGCTGATGGATGCTGATTGCGTTGCTGCCTGCTGCCTTCGTTTCAAGGAATTCGAAGGTTGTATGTCGTATGCAAGTCAACATATAATAAAATAAGACATCTAAATATATATATATAGTATATGTTTTACACCTCAGACTGCAGCAGATCCACCGTGACAGACATCTACAAACCGTTCCTACGAAGGCAATTGTCTGACAACGCATGCACATTTGAGCCAGCAGCCATGGAAAGCGCCTGGCAGCCTTCAGAGGAGCTATGGCTTCTTGCTCGTACCAAGCTGGTGGCCAAAGACTTTATGCCACCTTCTGATGTTCGAGCAGTGGAGTCGACTCGGAAGCTTCAGGAAGACTGGGAGCGGAGGAAACCAGTCATGGTTCAGGCCTGCCCTTGGCAACGACATTTGGCCACAGAAAACCGGAGCCAAAGCACCCAAAGGCATTTGGAAGCCGATCTTCGGTCCAAGATCATCCATCCGTCCATCCAACCTTTGGTGAAGCAAATCTTAAACAGTCTCAGCTCAAAAGCACCTGATGATGTCGACATTTGGCACATGAGTGCCTTGCGGGCAGCCGCCAGCACTGCCCATGGTGCTGGAAGCTTTCTGCTTGGTAGCTTTACGCCGCTTTTTTCGAATCCGGGAGAGAAGACTGGGGAGGCCATTCCAGCTGAACCTCACAGAAGCTTTGCTGCAACAAACCGCAAAATCCAGCTGCATGAGACACCTGCATGTGGGTTTGGGTGTAGCAAGAAAGTTGCAGTAGCCATAGTGGAATCCAATGCAGTGGTGTTTTGCAGATATGGTGACGCTCATAGTCATAGTGCTTCTCACTTTCTTGTGGACTTTGGCCAACTTTCGTGAGGACTGGTGCTGAAAGCTTCAAGGGATGAAGACCAGCTCCTTGCAGAGATGGAAAAGCTTCAAAAAGTCCAGTCTTCGCTGGGCCCTCTACGATCACCACGAGTGCTGTCTGCGAAGCACACAGAGGACGGCCTTTTCGCCTTTGCTCAGGAATTCCTTCTTTGCAGCAGATATTTCGAGGCCGAATTGAGCAATCTGCTGTTTTGCACATTCCTTTTTATGTCAGTCCCTAAAACCCAGGCCAGGTCTTTCGGACAGCTATTTTTGGCTAAGACTTGCCTCCGTAGTTATACGTAGTTGTTGGGCAAAGCTTCAGGATGCAGTGCAACAAAAGGCTCTATTGTATTGTATGGCATAGAAGGTAGGTGGCTGTAGAAGTGCGGGTACTCCTGAAGGGGGTTGGTCATGGTAGGAGCAAGTGCCAGGCCAGTTTGGCAGGCTTTGAGTCTTGACATGAGCTGCTCTGGGCTAAAAAGTATGCAGTCACCAAAGATGTGGATAAATCATGATAAATAAATCAAATAATGAGAAAGAAAGATAGATATGCTAGGCATGAAAGAAATAGAAGAAGAGGTGCAAAAGAGTAGATATCCTCCGGTGGGTGTTTCCTGGTTTTGCAACAACACTTCAGATACATCCTGAGCATTCTTCCCTCAACTCCATGAATAGCCTGGTCCTTTACACATCGAAGGTTTTGAACACATCAGCCTTTCAAGTCTTTAGATCAGAGAACGTCAGGCTGGCCAACGAGAAAGGCAGTCGTCCAGCTTTGCAGACTTGTTGCGCATCGGAGCTCGGCCCCTGGCCTTGGAGGAGAGATAAAGCAAGATTACGCAAGAATCCAAGTTTTCTGAACTTGCTTTTTCCTTCCTTTCCTTTCCTTTCTTTTGTTTTCTTTTCTTATTCTTGATTCCGTCGTGATTACTGTAATCCATTTTCTTTTGGCATTTTTGCATGCGTGTTCCAGCTGTTACTGAAAACAACCGAGTCATGCCTTGGAGTGTTTATATGTTATACTCCAAATGCACCAAAAATTATGTCACCTCAGCAAAAAGCGCCTTTACCCGTAATTTGCCCTTAAAAAGGGCATTCGGCGTAATTTGCTAAAACCAAGATGGACTCGGCGTTTTTGGTTTTTGAGGTTCTTGAACATATTGATTGGTTGATTAGATGCAGAACCAATCCGGGTTGTGGTGATTCATGATAACTCGGCTCGACAATCCTCTAGGGATCAAATACCTGGTGAACCGGGCATTCTTGAGGTGCGCCCTGGCTGTTCACGCCCAGTGTTTTTCTTCAGTAGTTCCTACCTCTTGCCAAGCATTGTTGACTTAGGGATTCATTGTAAACACTCAAATCCAGCCATGGATCCGATCAAGAAAACCGTTTATTAAAATTATAGAAATTCAGAAGGCCTGGCATTCAAATGGTTTCTGTGGCCCGAGGCAACACGCTTTCCTGATTTCCTATAATTATTGCAGTGTCACAAAGCTGTTGTTGAACATATTCGGTGAATGGACAGATTTGAAAGTTAGTGGACTGTGCATGGACCATGCATAATTCAACATGAACTCACCGTGAACCAACCGGGCACCCTTGCGTCAAATCGTGGCAGTCAATAGTTGTTCACAGTTTTCCAACATTTTGTCATCCCTAGATCTCGGCGTAATTGCCCGATAATTCGGCGTAAATCTCCGATAATTCGGCGTAATTGCCCGACAATTCGCAATTGTCCGTAACCATGTTTTTGCTTAGTTGGGGTTTCCTATATAAGAATCAACATCTTGGATGGCTGCACTGGAAAGATCTTTTTGTTGGCCCAATAGTTGCAGCTGTTCTACAACCACCCTTGTCAAGGGAGGTTGGATCATGAAAGGGCGAAGCGGCAAAGCATTCTTTGGAGAGTGATCCAGAGAAGCAAAGACAGAACTTTGCTTGCCTGGATTGGCCTTTCAAGAAAACCCTAGGGGAAATATTAAGAAGGTCCGGAAGACAAGGCATGCACTTAGGCAAACATTGTTGAATCTTTCAAGTGTGTTCTCTGTAAGCACTCCCAAACTGTGGATTAACTATCTCTAGCACCAGGTGAAGGATTCCAAGGTATCCAAACTGTGGATGCCAATCCCTCGGTCCTCATATGCAAGCCCAAACTGTGGATGGTCACCCTGTGGTTTGGTTTGGGAAAGGGGCGGGGAAGGGCTTGGTAAGACTGGCAAGATCTGGCAAGTGCTGGTTTGAGAATCTAGCAAATGAAACGCATTAAAGTCGGCAGTTTTCATATTGCTCGGCGTTACTTGTTGGATTCGGCACTTTCGATGAATTTGGCTGAAATCAGGGCACAATGGTGCCTCGGCACAAATTTCTGCCAACGGTTCCTCTAGGTATAGATGTAAACCGTTTCTTTGCCAAAACTTACATAGTGGTGTCCCACTTCGAGGGTTTCACATTGGGTCGTGGCTTTTGCGGAAGAATCTTCGGCAGTTTGTCTGGAGCATTTCAAATTTCGGTGTTGAGTTGCAGGATGCTGGACGTGATATGGAAGATCTGCATGCGCGGCTAGGGATGTCCGCCGAGGCACAAAACGGGTGACCCCGAGGTCAACGTGGAAGTCTGCCCATACATTTTGAGGTGCTGCTCGCTGACAAACATCAAAAGAGACTGTTGCAGAAGAAAACAAAGTCATCCTGGTACCTTTGGTGTGTTATGTTCTTTAATGTAGGCTCTTGATTAATAACTTCCCCCATTTGAATGCACGGACTCGCGAGTCTGAATCGCTTCTACGCCACCCCTTGCTGTTGTAGCGGGTGTGGGTAGAGTATTTGAATTAAAACATGTCTTCATATGGGGGGTTATTAATGATCAAGAGTTTACATAACGGACGGGCAGATCTTTGGGTCTCGCGACAGGATTTGGCTGCGGTGAGTCTCGAGGAGCTCCGCCACGCGGCGCAGCAGACGGGAGAGCTGTTAGGCAGCCGGGAAGCCGAGAGGAGTTCCAATGATGTTCGCCATTTTCGGTCTTCAATCACTCTCAATCACCCAGATGTTTGGATTTCTTTGTTCGACACCGCAGTTAGATTGGCTAACTGGACATGGTCCATCGATATCTTTCTAATCCCCACGGGCCCAGAGATGTGATGGACTTGCCGCAGACCACAAGTGATTGATTGTTGCCCTACTGGTAGCAGCCAATGGCCGAGCACTTCGGCGAATGACTCGCTCGTGGATGTCCTACGTTGTGATTGCACTGTTGTGTCCTTATTTGTGCATGATTGTGCTTGCCTGTAATACCTTCAATCAGCTGTTTGACATGGACAGCACCTGAAGTGACGACAACACTTTTCCCCCTTCGAATCGAACAAAGCAGCTTCCCGAAACGAAAGAGTCAGAGGAGATGGGCCGAGCTCTCATCAGCCCACACCCCCATATCAAAGTGATGCAGATGACAACCGTTGAGTGTGAAGGCCGGCAAAGAGCTGGTTCACAAGCATGAGACACAGCAGGCTGCTCACTTCAAGTGCTGTGACCACTGCACTTTTGTCACCTTTGCGGCCATGTCTTGTGCGCCGAGTGAGTTGTATAAACCTTTGGATCTCACGGGCACCACTGTGCTCATCACCGGGGCTACAGCAGGCGAGCAGCCCGACGATTGTGCAGACGAATCACACTCAAAGCAAGTGAACAGTTTGGTGCTTCCAACATCTAGCTCAGCAGTGGTAAGAAGTCAAATGACATCACTCGTGCAATTGTGCTAGAGTCTATCAACCTTGCCACTCTTGTCTAAAGTGTGGCGAGCCATTTGTGAGGAATTGGAGAAGCTACTGCTTGGCGATTCGCAGAGCTCCACTGCCATTTGGCCATTTGCCGAAAGATTGAAAGAAGATGAAGCACAAAGCGTCTACAGTGAAATCCGCGATCGGATCGTGGAATCTTTGTGTTCAGATCTTTGGCGACAGATAGAGGGACGACAAAGCTCCCGACCTTGGACGTATCCTTTTTCTGCTGAAAGCAAGGGTACTTGACATGGGTGGGCAGTATGCAGCTCAAAAGATTGATGAACATAAGGGGTGTAGGGGGTGTGTAGGGGGTGTTGGAGAATCACGAGCCTTTTCGGTCGTCACAGGCTCTCTGTGGTCGGCGCACTGATCGTCTAGAGGCCGGACTGCTTTTTGAAGCGTCGAAAGACCGCAAGATCTTCGGTCCCGGTCAGTCTATCTGCAAATCATTGGACCATGATCTGACAGCTTCCATTATGGGGAAGGCGCCGCAGAGCCACCAGCGGTTTTGTGAACAGATTTGTGTGCCGAACTTAACATTCGATCTAAGAACTCAAATGGGTGTGTATATTCTTTTGAAAACACTTTGTTTTGAGGTGTTCAAGTTTATGTAGAGGTGTGGAATGTTTGACTCTAGGCTTCTCATAGTCGAAGCATATGCGAAGCCGCACCCGAGGCACAGCTCCGAAGCATAGCTATACACAAACAGCGCCTGGGAACGTCACAGACAAATACACACAAGATCTATGAACACATAGATGCTTAAGCTTGTTGGGTGTACGGTGGAGATGTATGGAGTTTCTTCGACGACCCTTAGAAACAAGGAGCCCGACATGACCACCTAAAGTCATGCGACTGAGTCAAGCCTAAATGAACCGCACGTCCATCCCAATAAAGAAGGAATATACTTGCGCTTGCTATATAGAAGGAATTTCCGGAATATACTCGGGTCCAACATGAGTTGGCAATATATTATCGAGCTCAACAAAGTCACAGTCGATAAAAGCAATGCTGTGAACCATGAATGAAGACAAGCAATGCAATCCAAACGAATGCTAATCCCTAGCCCTTTGTCTTCAAGTGCAGACAATCCCACGCTCTAAAGTCATAGCTTCGATGAAAGACTGTTCCAAGCTTGATGCAAATTTAAATTGCAAGATAAATCATATGGGATATCTTTAAATTATCCACACACCCCTCTGAGTTAGCAGATAATGTTTTTTGGTTAAATTTCAACGGTTAACCTTTTTAGGCTGGGGGGGGTCTGTATGTGAAGCTTACTGCGGTTAAATTAAGAGATCAGCAGGTCGTTCTGATAGTTCTGAGGTTTTCGTATCTTCTGTTTGGACTGCAAACTGAGTATTCTTGAAACTAGCAACGGGCTTGGACTGGAGCCACGGAAATGTAACTATTGTTCCACGGAGCAGATACAATCCCACACACATTTGTGATTTGTAGTAGCTTTCGCACCTCTAGGTTAAGGTGCAAAGGATACAGTGCTTGGTTTGTTGGGCTTTAATGTTCCGAGAAAGGAAGGCTATGAACATTTGCTGTCTATGATTGCTCTTGCATGCTTTTGTAGGGGGCCCCTTGACATTGATTGTTGAAAAATTATCTAACAAATGGTGACATCCTGGATAACTTCTTGAAATCTATGTCCCAGGGTCTCAGTTAAATGGATTACTGTAATTATCCTGGGGGGGTTGAGGGGGGGTCCTTCTAAGATAACCCATATGATAAATCTAATTGCTATGCAGATCTTTTTCCTGATTAGGTTGCATACTACCTGTGTGAAGTGCATGTGATGCCTCAGTCGTGGAGTCTTTTGTTTTGGTTTCTGTTCCACATGAACTCTTGGGTCTCTTCAATGTCAATGGCTGAAAAAAATGACGCAGATTCTCCAATGCTTTACATACCTCATTGCCAATCCATGATATGCTAGGTTCAGTTTATAGCCACGGTGCTGTAAGGGATGTACGGGGAGCGCATTATTTCTTTCTTTGTGGTTTCTCCACTCTCATATCACCTGCAGAACCCACGCTCGCTGATGCCTTGCGAGGCGCTTAAGAAGGCCCTTTGTGATCGCTTCGCAGCCCTTCCGGAGCCCATCATCACGACTTTGGATGTTTCCTGGCAAAAAGATGTACCGCCATCCTTGACATTATGTATTCTTCAACCAAACTCACTGGATCCACCAAGATTCCGCATTTGTGTTGGTGTAGGGATTTTTCGAAGCTGCTTGCAACATGAGTTTTGCTTCCAGATGCTCAAAGAATTTCTACAAAGAGAAGATGCACACAATTCTCAGGTCCAGGACACCGAGAAGATTCGCAAACTCCCAGAGCAGTTGAAGGTTGGCCCGTTGAATGTTAGAAAGCATCATGAGCCATGATCGGTCATGGAAATCCAATAGAATCCGTGGTCAATGAAAGTGTTCCTTATGGGTCGTTCATATTTATTGACAAGGGGTGTTTGTATAATGATAATGATTAAATTGATTAATGTGATCTCTCTCTCTCTCTCTCTCCCTCCCTCCCTCTTTCAGGGTTGCTAAAACAATCTCACCAGGCAGATTCGTCTATGCATGTTGGACCATTCAGCAAGCATTGCCCGTCCCCGAATTGGGGAGGCTGCTGGCATGCCCGCGGTGGACATTCTGGTCAACAACGCCGGCCTCGCGCTTGGAGTGGCCAGTGCAATTGAGCCACTTGGAGCGGAACTTGGTCGAGCTGAAGCCAACCTGATAGATCGAGCCAAAAGACCCGAAAGGATTTGACATCCATTTTTTGGGGGGAGTTTTTGATGACCCATGGCGACCCCAAGAAACACGCTAGGTTCCTTTGAGGTTCCTTCCTTTTGGCACCACCAACGTGGGTTTCTCTTGTGCGGGGCAGGGTTTGAGACATTTGGGAAGAACACAGGTGCAGACTGCCAGTTTCACTTTCCTTGTTCTGCAACGTTGGATTTCTGCCCAGCACTTTGGGGTCTAGGGCTTGTAGGCCAAATCCATACAAAAAGCACAATACAATACACGAGGAATAGGATTGCGGTGCAGCTTCAAATGCACTTGATGCTTCAATATGCGTGGCCAGTAGTCCCGCTATTCCGGTAGGTTAACAATTTAGCACTTGAGAAAGCATGTCACTAAAGGTCCGGAGGACACCTGGACTGGATTTGAGCGACAAAACTTGGTAAGGAATGAGCTCGAGAACATCCAAACAATGCTCGCCACCAATGTCCAAGCTGTCATGTGCCTTTGCTATGGGCATATGTCTTATTTCTCTGAGCTTCAGTGCAGTGGCTGATGTGTGCAACGTTTGCTGCGGGTTAGGTCTTTCACATTGACCGATGCGGCCGAGGTGCTTGGTATCGACTTTTGGACCCCAAATGAAAGAACGTGGCAGAGGTCACATTGTGAATATCTCTTCCGTAGCAGGCCTGCTGTCTTGCAGACTAGAAAGGTGAGAGTGTTTGGTTGTATAACATGTGGTTAGAGCTGTCGGCAGTTTCGCCTCAGGGCCAAGGGAGTTAATCTTTTTTTGCGACTTCCCACCTCTATTTTGTTTGAAGTTTCATAAACAATATAATACAGTACAATTTGTTCACAGAGCAAACTGAAATGACGGACTCAACAATTACTGTAACCTTGCCTTCTGGCGTTGTTCACTTTGTTATCTTGGCGCGAGATCATTTGAGCGCCAGCAGCTGGCTTTTGTTGAGTCAATCAAGTTTACTGCAATGGAAGAGGAGTACCGGTTCGGTGAAGTGAAGATTCATGTATCCCGTGTTGCTAAGGTAGTGATTATGCTGTTTCAAGCCTGCAGAACATGTTCTTCAGCCCTCCCTTATGACGACTGTTTCCAGGTCACGAGTGCTATGTCGGTGGCTCCGCCTACTGTGCAACCAAGCATGCAGTCAATGCGATTCTTGGCTCGGTCAGAAGGGGATGCGATCCAAGACCCTCGGTCTTGATTAGGCTCCATTGGATGCTCCATGGACCTCATTTGATTCGAACTGATCTTCCAGTTTCACATTCCACTTGGATCTTGGACTCCTGCACGCTGGCGGCCTTACGGGATATTAAGGGATTTTGTGGTAAAGCATGGTAAAGATGTGCATTGTGGATTATTGAGCTGTTTTTTCTTTGGTTTCACTTGGGTTCTTGGTTGCTTCATCAGCGGTGGAGTAACACACTCCATCCACGTCTCACGCGTGGATGTCGGAGTGTGGGGTGGTAAAGCATGGTAAAGCTGTATTAAGAAGCCGCCTTAAGCCAGTCTTCACAGGCATTCCAGGGCTTTGGGGGATGAGGGAAACACTGTCGGTATTGCCAGGGAATTCCATTCTGCAGGTGGAATTGCGAAGCTGACAGACTGAGGAGGAAAAGAAGGTAAGGCGCTTTAGGGGGGGCCACGTCAATTGGGGCCGTTACCCTACCCTCTCGTGAACTTCACAATTCTCTCACTCTCTCTCTCTCTATATATATTTATATTTGTATTTATTTCTTTCCTCTTTTGCATTCTTTTGCTAAGTGCCGCGCTCTTCAAGCGACCTGAGGTTTACCATTGCAACCAGACATGACTTGGCCGGAACGCCTATCAGGCTGATGAACGAAGTTGAACGATGGATTGGTGAACGAACGATTTCTCCAAAAGTACCACGGATTTCGGTTCTTTGAGTCTGATACGAGGTAGAGGCTGGAGGGGCTGCACAGTTTGTCTGAATTGTGCAACAAATTGTTCAAGATGCCAGGGTCACAGCGATCAGTCCCGGGATGGTGGCGACTTGCTCCTGAGATAAGGTGACTTCGCAGGCTCTCCTTTGTACTACCATGGATTTTGTATGGTCTAACCATACATGATTTGGTTGGTTTAGAAGCCTGCGATGCCAGAAATGCCCTGAGCACAAGAGTGACTGTTCCTGACCTTGAATGTCTTTTTCAGTCAGCAGTAACCTCCCTCAACTTCTCCTGCATGGGCTCGTGAATTCAGTTGCTAATTAGGTTCTAAATGCTTTAACTCTAAGCCCAATGTGGTTGCCCCATGGCCGCTCAACCTGCTTTGCTGAGGAGACAGAATTTTCGAAGGTCCGCTTCGGCGATGACGCCAAAGCAGCCAAGGTGTTGAATGGGTCGAGGGTTTAAGGAACGGAAACTGGAGATGTTGTTTGGAACTGTTCTTTCTTCGCAATACAGATAGTCTGCGGACTTTCCCGTTATTGTTTTTGGTGGAGGATTTTGGGATAGTTGGAAGGGAACAGAATTGTCAAATAGAACAATGTTGTTTTATGGGTTGGGGTACAATTCATCGTTCATGCGAGCTGAGCATCCAACAAAATCAGCGAAGGAAAAGATAAAAGTAGTCACACCATGGACATGGGATAGGACACCTGCAAGAAACCTTGATAACCAATGGGAGTCCTCAGGCTAATTAGAGAAGAAGCTAGGAAAGCAATTGCAGATTCTGATTGAGGTGATGTTCAGAGCCAGACAACTCTTTGCCAGGTCTATGAGAATATTGTGCCTTTGGTCGCGGAGGACATCGCCGACCAGATTATCTATGCGACGACCCGGCCGAGGACTTTCGGCGGTCAATTGATTGAATCCTCCCTGGGATTCCCTGGGATTCAGCCAGCAGCTTCCCTGTCTTTCTTCTATGACCCTTGACACGTAAACTGTTGCCGTATGCTGTCATGTTAGGCACCAGACACATGCTGGCTTAGATTGGCAGTGTTTGTAAGCTGTCCTGTCCTCTAGGCAGAACACAGGCAAAGAACCCTGGGGCCAAGTCATTCGGTCCCGGTAGTACTATGAGCTTCCAGCTATCAGCAGTGAAATTGCAGATCCTGAATCTTTACAGTCGCAGCATGTCACCGCCATGCAGACCAGGCTGTGGGCAGAACACCAGAATGTTTGTTCCCTTACCAGAAGCTTTTTCCATTTGAGGCACGTGCAGATTGCTGACATCATTTCTTATGCCACCAACCAGGCCTGGCGAGGATGTTTTCCTTTTTTTGCAACTGGATTACAGTCTCCAGAACAGCACTTTTTGACAAAGCACGTGTTTCACGTAGCAGACGTAGCAGACGTAGCACACCACCCACCAGCCAGGGCCACGCGAAGTATGTCATCGAGAGACAAGGCTGCGTTTCATGGTCATTTGGGCAGGATGAAGTCGCTTCTTTTGGTGAACGAGAGCTGTGGCAGTGGCAGGATCCTATCAGCCCAATCCCAATTTGGCAGTCATGAGCGATGGGCGGGATTATATTAAGAGCTCAACATAAACCGAACATCCATTCACTCTACTATTGCTCTTCGACGTTGTGCCTTGCACTGCACTGATGCAGTCCAAAGTGGCGCTATATAGGTTTGCATAGACGAATGTCTGGGATTGTCTCATTTAAAGACATCAAGAAAGTGTTCTTTCAGCTTTTCCTTACATGCTTTGACCACTGCTTTGTCATCCCACCCGCAGTAGATCTAGAGTCATTCGTTGAAGACCATCGTTTCCAGATTATTCAGGGTCCATTAGCGGATCTACTGCCCGTGGGATCTGCCACCTTAGAAGCTGGACACTTGTTGACCCGACCATTCTTGCCCTTGTTCTGGCCGCCCTTAAGGCTTTGCTAGGCTTGCAACCAGGGCCTTGTCCATCTACTACTTCATGCCGGAATCAGCCAGCTAGCCACCTATCAAAGTAGCTGGCGGCTGGCGGGTTTACCCATCAGCAATTTGTCCCGCGTGTAATCACAGACTTTGCGAGCTTTGACATCATTCATGGGATGCCAGGTCCCAGCATGGGAGCTCCAGGCAGGACGGTCAACTATACCAAATTTCCAACAGCAGCACGCATCTCTCAGTATATTATGTTATAAGATGATGATCCTGTGTGTATTATATATATATATTATATATCATAGATACTACATCTATCTACAATATAATATATCTAATACACAATATACATAATATATATATATATGTCGTCTATGCCATTAGCAGCTTCCTCAATATGAACTGCAAAGCGCACGTCCACTGCACATGTAGTTCGATCCATTGGTCAGCCTTGCACCAGGCTTTGAAAGTTGAAAAGTATCCCAATTGTGCCAGGAACTTGAGGAATGATGAGACAGCTCACGTAGTGGCAGCACAAAAGAGCGCGCTGCTGCAACGCTTCTTTTGTGTCAAAGCTTTTCCTGCGGCACTTGCAACACCAAGAAAGTCTTCATGTCAAATTCCGTTAAGAGCGACGCGCAACTGTCTAAGGTCTTGCTTCACTTGATGCGGGGACCTTGATTACACGTTTTTACTTAGTGACTTAGGTTTCCTGGTGGCAGCAGTTTGGCCTCCCAGATCAATCGCGAAGGCTTGCAATCTCGAGTGCCTGAGGAAGAATTTCCCTCCAGTTCTTCTGCTTGTCATTCACCTTATGCGCGCCCCCAAGTTTGTCAGCAGTTGTTCAGCTCAGGGTTGCTGATCAACAGGTCATTTCAGCCAACCCTTTGGATGCTCCAAGAGTCCAGTTGAATTCCAGAGGACAGTTTTTGTTTCGGCATGTTCGGCCAACTTCAAGCCGATCAGGTGTCCTGGAGCACCTCTTTGATAAATCCAAAGGAAGTCCAGGCGACAAGGGCGTTCTCACCTGCATGCCCGAGAAAGATCCCAAGAATGGGAATCTAAATGGAGGGCCCGTGGCATTCGGGATTCTAATGGAGTACATATCTCGCAGAGCAGGATTCGATTGAGTGAATCCCGTTTGTGCCCGACACTTCTCACCTCTACGGTCGCCTCCATTTGACAGGCTCCTGGTCGCTGCCATGCTGTTCTCACCCCAGACAAATACAGACCTATTCGTGTTGAGAAGATCAACATGACCATGTCATATCCTGTCCATTTGCAGACCAAGTGTAAACACGTAACAGTAGCAAAAAAATTCTTGGGACCAGTGCAGGCAGAGCGGTGAAATGTCTGCAGGTCTTGTAGTTTTGCAGTTGCCACACCGTACTTTGGTCGTTCAAGGGCACTTCTACATGACTTCCATTCTTTTTTCAAGACATGCAGTCACGCACACTTGGATGGTTGCTCGCAAGAGCTAGTATCAGTACGAAGTTCCCCTTGACTGGAAGAAAAGTGCAAACAGAAGGGCGAGGAAGTCCGGAAAGTTGAAGATGTTTAACAAATTGTTGTAGTGCATTAGCCGCTTACTGCAAAACGGTGCAAAGGCTGGATTCCTTGTTCTAGTTAAGAACGGGACCAATGAGGAATTGTTCCAGTAAAACTGCAGGTACGTCCAGAAGGCGTCCCTTCCGGATATCAGTACCGCCACAGAAGCCTCTTCGTTGGACTGTCACTTCTGTGGGGTAGACAGTCCCCCTGCCTCTTTTTCTGCGTTAAGAAACTGTAAGTTAGTAGCGATACCAGGAGCCCTTAGTAGCAAATCCAGGGGCCCTAGTAGCGTCCTTTACGACTCAAAACCTTAGGCACAAGTGTGGACACACACATGAAGCCGTACTCGGCGCGCTGACCCTTGCTTGCAGTTTAGTAGCGTGGCCAGGAGTCGCTAGTAGCGTCCTTACAACCTGGTAGTACCGTCCTAGCTCCTGGTAGCGAGGCCAGAAGCCCCTAGTAGCGTCGTTGGTATCCGCCGGTCGCAAAACTTTGTACACATAGCGCCAATATTGGCGCTTTGGTTGAAAACTACTAGCGACCTAAAAAGCCTTAGAAAGACAGAAAAAGCAAACAAAACAAAAGCAGACTAAGAGGGCAAGAAGGAAAGATAGGCGTAGTTACGAGGCCCACTTAGTTAAATGAAAGTAGAACGCGAGCGGGACCTTTGGTCTTAAACCGCCCGGGTAGCTAGCAATAGAGCAGGAGAAACGGAAGGAAAGGCACCAACACACAAGTGTGTTGAGTGCGATTTCCTTCCGTTGCCCGAATAGCGGGTGGGATAGCAACCGAGGCCCAGGGGTAGGGAGGTAGGGGGGAGGGTGGGTTAGGGTGGCCTGTAGGCCTTGCCATCATTGGCTTTCAAGTATAGCCGATTTGGGCCGGCGCACCCCTTCTCTGAAAGACACCTGGAACCTAAAGAAAGGCCTCAAGAAACGAAAAGCAACAAAAGGAGAGGAAGAACCGAAGAGCATGAAAAAAATCAGGGCAAAAGAATCTCGTGTCGTGCCTGAAGGATCATGCTGGACCCTGCCTAGGATGACTGCTGCTGAGCACTGTACAATGATTACATAGACGCATGTTTCTGGTGAGAAAATCTCAAGGTGTTGATCACAGTAGGCCCTGAGGCATAAGATCAGTGGTATCGTGCTTTGCTGCCAATCAGAGACGATCGAACGAAGTTCACGAAAGCAAAAAGGAATATCAGAAGGATTCCCCCAGGATCTGGGTCTGTGCACATGCGGCGCCCCTTGACGGGGATCACACCACAGCCCTCAGTGGGACCCTGTGGCGAAACACACTTGGATGGTTGCTCGCAAGATCTAGTATCAGTACGAAGTTCCCCTCGACTGGATGAAAAGTGCAAACCGAAGGGCGAGGAAGTCCGGAAAGTTGAAGATGTTTAACAAATTGTTGTAGTGCATTAGCCGCTTACTGCAAAACGGTGCAAAGGCTGGATTTCTTGTTCTAGTTAAGAACGGGACCAATGAGGAATTGTTCCAGTAAAACTGCAGGTACGTCCAGAAGGCGTCCCTTCCGGATATCAGTACCGCCACAGAAGCCTCTTCGTTGGACTGTCACTTCTGTGGGGTAGACAGTCCCCTGCCTCTTTTTCTGCGTTAAGAAACTGTAAGTTAGTAGCGATACCAGGAGCCCTTTAGTAGCAAAACGAGGGGCCCTAGTAGCGTCCTTTACGACTCGAAATCTTAGGCACAGGTGTGGACACACACACATTACATATACATTTTGCACACGCACACACGCGCACACATATAGTGTATGTATATCGCACATGTAAATAATGTTTATATTTAGATATATATATATATATGTAATGTGTATACGTAATTTCGAAGGGCCATAGTCATTTTCATTCAAGCCGCTACCACCTCAAGTTTGCCGCCCCAGAAGACCAGCTAGCGCGGACATCCCGCCATAAGACATCCTTGAGGGCTAGGAGGGCACGAACCTCGCTACCTCGAGGTGTCCCTCAATTACATCCCTTTGCGCGGGAGAAGGAGACTTGGGACGCAACCAGGGCTGGATATGGAAGGACAGTGGTAGGGAAAACCAATCTGACATGCTTGCGTTGTGGGCAGCCTTGCAAACAGGCCCTTGTGCTGGACTTGAAAAGGAAGATTAGCTGGGGAGGGTGGAACTTCACTCTATAGGTGGAGCCTGATGGCCAACCAAGACTTAGCAAGAAGCTTTGTTGGAGGCCCCCGCCAGGACTGACTGATGGGAGGCCAAAGCAAATAAGAACAAGAAGCCGGTCAAGCATGACCTACAGGCCACTTTGCAGGAACAGAGGAATGAGCTACCTGATGCAGTGAAGCATCAGTGTGAGACGCTGGGCACTCAGGCGGTGCCGCAACCCCCACTACCACCACCGGCCGCCGCCGCCACCACCACCACCATCACCACCACCACCACCGCCACCACCACCACCTGAATTTACCCTCCTTGCTCAAAGAACATCTCGAGGACCTGCCAGGCGAGTTGAAGGCAGCGGTGGAGAAGATCATCATGTCAGAGAAGCCAAGCTCAAACAGTCGGTTGGCAGCTTGAAACAGCTTGCAGAGATGAAGGTGCCCCACGCAAGCCAAAGTTGATGCAGTTAAGGCCCAATGCGCGGCTCATCTCCAGGATTTGAAGGGTCTCCAGACCAAGATCGAGCAAGCGCAGCAGGATTTGCAGGAGAACACCAAGCTCTACAACGCGCTCTTGGAGAAGGATAAGCAGATTGAGGCGGAAGACATGCAGGACCTGTCGGAGGCAAAGATCTTCGCGATCAAGCAGGGCATCGGCATTGCGCCAGCTGAAGACCAGTTGAAGCAAGTCGCAAAGCAGCTTGAGGAAAACGCGGCAAAGCAAGCTCCAGCAGGGGTAACGTTTGCCTCAGGAGATGCAAGGGGACAGCGCTGGTACCTCATAACTTCAGGGGTTGAAGGGTTGCGTTCAGTTTTGCGCAGAGACTTTGGCTCAGGTGCGTGGGGCCAAACTTGACGCTTGGAAGGGGGCCGGGCAACGTAGTGGCAATGGAAGGATGCCCAATTTGTGGTGGGGGCATTTTAGATGAACACATGTCTCCAGAACCTATCGTCTTGGAGGATGGGACTAGGGTGGCGCAGAACCTGCGCCTTCGTTTTGCAATCCAAGCGGCGCGTGCTTTGCACTGCCCCTTTCAGACTTTGAACATGAGTGGGCAACTTGGAGGGCGCCAAGCTTTGGAACAGAACAACCTCTGCAGTGACCTTGGCACTGATGGAGGACGACGTTGTGCACATCACCTATTTGCACTGAGGACTGTATGATGGGAACTTTGCAACGATTTGATTCAGGATGATTGCTGATTTTCGTGGCAGACTTTCGGTGGCAAAGTGGCAAATGCGCGCAGCCCTCCACGTGGGCGCTGACGGGGCAACCTTGTCTGTAAGCGGGGTTGTAGGTTGGAACCTTTATGGATGACTGGGGCAAACCCAACCCGGTCCTTCGGGTCCGGCGTTTCTCCGGTTTTCACCGGGTTGGTTTCTTTTCTATGGGGAGAACAGGAGCACGCGACTCCTGCCGCTTCAGGCTCAAGTTTCAAGGGACGTTGAGTTTTCCTCCAACTCTTCCCTTGACCACCGGTGTAGAGACAACAACGTGACTGACCCGTACGTTGTTGGGGGTGAGTTGGTTGGTTTGTGTTTTGGTTGGTTTCCAGTCTTTTGGTGACTGGTGGCTGGTTGGAGCAGGGGTGACCTTGGTCGGCTTGACGCAACCAAGGTCCGAAATGAAGCAGAAACACGAGAGCACATGTGTAAAGTGTGGGCGCGTGTTTTCGAGGCCCGCAACACCCAGGGGGAGGGACGGCCATGATGCCTGTCTTCCCCCGGGACTCCCAATGGCACGTCTATCAGGCGGCTATATGCCAGTTTGGGGTGCTTACTTGGTTGTTTCCCCGACCATGGCTTGGCGAGTTTCTTGGGTTGCGCCATGTTGCACTCACTCATGTACATCAGCTACTAACTTGGTGAGGACTTGTGTGCTCCTCTCCTTGTTTCTTCTCCCATTGCTTTGTGTAGTTCTGGTTGTGTAATATGAGTGGAAGAATCACGAGCCCCATGGGCACGGTTATAAATTGCAGTAAACGGGGTGGCCGGTGCGCCACGGAACCATTCAGGAGTGACAGCCTGTATGCGCCAAGGTCACTACATGTCAGGTCTGTTGAGTATGTATAGCGCCCTACTCATGCTAAACCCCTCGTAGTGTCCCATATGAAAAGAATGTGCAATCGTATTTGTGTATATATTATATATGTATGCAAAGTGGATGTGTCAACTTGAACAAAGTCATGAAGTTTTCGATAATTTTCGGCCGCTTTGCCCTTTTATACCTTTCAAAACTGTATTTTCTGTTATAGACAGAAAGTAGACAGCAAATGTTGCGGTTCTATACCTTCAGTAGTCATAAGCAATGAAAAATCCATCAGGGCCAAGTGGCATATTGTCCAAATCCAATGGTATAGTCACTTGCGCATTGACGCATGCAGATGTATGTGAAAGAGGTATTGAAACTGGCATTGGAACTATCTTCGGTCAAGAATGGTGTCAACATATAACATGAAGGGATCAGTAAAGTTGGTGATGAACAAGACTTTGCCGCATGCGTGGTCCCAATGACATAGCAACGCCTTTCCTATATACTATGTATGGTGCATCTACAGTGCACAAAAGAACCCGGTCCTGATGTACAAGGCAGTTTGCAAAAACATGTGTTTCCATGTTCTTGATGCTGTATATTCACACCGACAAAGACTGACTGAAGAACCTATGAACCTATATAGACGTAGTGGAACAGTGGAACAGTATTTACAGTATTTTTTGGGGGCATGCAAAAGATTTGGAATACCTACAGAAACAACCAAACCAAGAAATATCTAAGGTGCAACTACTCTTGGAGCTGGAGCACGGGCCCCAGCATTGCCTAGCATCGCTGGGATGTCTAATGATCACTCAAGTTTGATGTAGTGACGTTGCGTTGTTTGTTGAAGACCTTGGGACCGAAAGCACCAATGAATTCACAGAGAAAAGGACGTTGCATACTTATTGGAAGAACTGACATGTTCTTTCCGGGAGCAGAGCCTGAGGGTGACATGCACATGCAGGTTCGTCATGGGTTTCCTGGTTTGTGGGGGCTCAACGGAATTGCACACCCGACTTTGCTCAAGGCCGATGCTGGAGCGGTACCTGCTGGGAAAGGCACCAGATCTTCTGGACATCGGTCATCGGTGGAATAGCATCTCCGACAATGAAGACGTGGGGTCTGTTTGTGTTTCATGATTTGGAGAATGGACATGACTGACTTCACCATAATGGACAACTTGATCATACTACTGTAATTCATCTAATTAGGGAACATGGCATTTGGTTGTGTTGAGATTGAGATGCTTCCATTAGCTGCTGGCAGCCAGCTGTTTTTGACAGACTGTGCTGTCCCATTTGTCAATTTGGCCTAGACTGGAAGGCCAATCGATCACACCCCAAGCCCTCCACCCAATCATCATGGATTTGAGCGGCCACGCTGCGTTTTGGTCGGGGAAAACACATGTTGTGGATTTCTCGAGTCTGTGAGGAAGCGCGGGCTGGGAGCCTCGGATTCTAGCTTCAGGAACTTTGAGCTCTCGGACTCTAGACCCACAAATAGCTTGAATTTTATGTAGCCAGGAGGGAATATGTCATAATAGTTTGATGAACATTTTCCTTGGGTTGGAGGCCATCGCTATTGGGTATCCTCTCTTCTTAGACCCTGTTTGAGGCCTCACCACTGCATGGCTCCGTGCGGCGGATCACAGAGGCTCCGGGCAGCGGCCTCTCCGTGTCGAGTACCGGTGTTGGCTCGGTTCGGTTCTGGTGAAGCTTGTTTCCGCTGTTTTTGGCCTTGCCAAGTGCTTGGGAGTTGGTATGGGATGTGTGGGGAAATCTGGAAGACACTCTGGCTCTGGCTTTCTCAGATGCAAGGTTTCATTTAGAATTTCATGTTCCCTTTTCCTCCGAGCCCCAAGCTCGGGCATGAAAAGAGTAAAAAACCACACAGTGTGACCGCGCCGCCGAACCTTGTGTAGGGGTGTCGTCCTTTGGTTGTCTTCCTGCTGTCCTCCTGTCACAGATTGTCCTGTTGGTGTCCTCTTCTTGTTCTTCAGTTGTCGTCTTATTGCCCTTCTTTCTCTTGTTTCCGCACCAGTCCATGCTTTATCTGGGTCTTGATGTGCAAACAGTTTACTGCAGTTTACTGCTACTGCTGGGGTTCTCTTTGGAACAAAGTGGGTGGCCACGGCCACAGTCCATGGCTGCGCCGGCGAAACCTGTGTCCGGGGGTTGTCCTCCTGCCGTCCTCCTATGTTGACCAGGGCGTTGTCTCTTTGCGCAGCACTTGTGCATGCTTTGGTGTTTTGTGTCTGGTTGTCCTCCTTTGCTATTGGCTTCTCACTTTCCTTCCAGTGCTTCCTTGTGTTGCTTGGAGGGGCAGGGAGGGCAAGCGCCAATGACTGACTACAGTCACGACGACAACAGTTTTTGCCTGTGAAAATGCTTGGGGTGTATGCTGGTATAACTTTATTGCGCAGCTGGCTGTTGACATAATCGCACAGCTGACAGCTAAGCACACTATTTGTTGCTTGAAGCGGAGGACTGCTGCTTGCAGCAATTTGGCACTCCGCCGCAGCCGTAGATCATTGGCATTGTTCATCCCTTTGATATATTTTTGAGGCCACTGATCTTTTCGGGTTATTGTTTTGTCTCTCCACTCTGAGTCTGAGGCTTGCTGACATTTTGCAGTTGGCGCCCGAGCTTTTGAAAGTAGGAGATAATCCCATGTGTGGAATGTGTCAATAGAAACATGATGACACATGCACACACACATGCAGCAATATGTATCACTTCTTAGATGTGTCTTGGAGGCTTTCCATACTTTGATTTTTGTGTGCATGGCTTCTGATGTCATGGGTTTATTATTCTACCCGGCCCGGCACAGCCATTATATATATATATATGCACTGCGGTTGCGATTGCAGGACAAGTGCTCATTGGTGCTAACCCCATGAATTCCGTTGACGTATTTCTCTCCAATGAATTTTGGTTTGGACTGGTTTCAATTGGTAGCTTCTCAATCTTAAACTCCAAAGGTGTTTCCAGAATTCCCGTCTTCAAAAAGGCACCGCGACAACAGCAAGCCGCTTTGCTGATACTGCGAGGTCGGCAAGAGCATTGCGCCAAAGACTGAAGCAGCTGATCTCAGCCGAAAGCTGGGACCTTAGGCCCTAGGCCACATAGAAGTGATGCTTTTGGAATGCACACGTTGTCGCGGCCCTTCTTGAATGTAGTTGCGGGCAAAAAGCAGTGGGTATGAAACAAAGGTAGACAGTTGAAATGCACCCAATCCCTAGATTTCTTTCCCAGTTGCTTCGGCAGCAAAACACTTCAGGAGCTCTCAGTTTCTCAGACTCACTTCAGGTAGAAATTCAGAAGAGAAGCTGCCTCCCATTGAGGCAAAGAAGCTCGATGCATATTGGAGCGAATTTGCAAAGAGAAATTGCTTAAAACAGGAGCCATGGCCATGGCTCCAACACTTCAACCTGGTTTTTGACACCTAGTTGCGGCCTGCTTTGCTCTAGGGAATGCGCGCTCACAGCGTTTGGATATGCGTGTGGGTGAGCAAGCGTTTTTGACACGCTGTGCGCATTATTATCACTCTTATTATTGCTCATTGAGGTCTGCTATGAATGCTGTAGGTTGCTGTGCATGAAATTTTGCTCTTGCGTGGTGTACTGCTGTGAGGTTTGGTGCAACTTTTTTTTTCATGTTTCTATTACACTAGAAGCCTTTTGTGTGATGCCCGATTGGCTGTGACTCAGGGTATCCATCCAGTCCAGTCTCTGGTTTCGTTGCGGTCCAGGATTCGGTGCTGCCAGTTGAACCTGAGTCTACAGACGGCCACATTGCAGCTACCACTTCTTGTTCAGTTTTGTGGGAAAAAAACCTTTGCTTGCTAGATGGGAATTTGTTGACGTGCAGTATCATTTTGTCATATGTTGTCCGCGTATTCTCAAGTCGAAAGTTGCTGTAAGATGCCAGGTCCTTTGGCCTGCATTTCTTGCGAAGCTTCGCTCCAGTGTCGCAGGTTCCCAGTTGCTGGTCGCATCCTCGACTGACTTGCCGACGCAGGGGCCTCGAGCCAAAAATCAGTGCTAGGGCTGCTAGGGGCCATTAGGGGCCCTACTACTTGAACTTCAAATTGAGCTATGACCAAAGCTTTCAGAAAAGTGCTCTTCAAAGGAGTTTGATATTGACTCGATCAGCACGAATTCTGCAAGCAAATCAGGCGAAGATTTTGGAACAAGGATGAGTCGGATGAGTTGGTTCCGAATTGTTCCAAATCTTGAGCCAAACCTTGATTCGAAGAGTATGGCCTCTTGGACCCCTTACAGCCTTACAGGTCGTAGTAAGAGTTGCAGCACACTGAAGAGTTGCAAAACAGATCAGTATAACACCAAGTGAACCAGAGATTGGTCCAGAGGTAATAGGTTGCAACTCATGCATGCCTTTGGAGGTAGTGCTGACATATTCGTACCTGAACAAACGTGTTCATGAAAGCACACAGCAACCAGACGCAACACAAGCTTGGAACTCGTCAAGTCCAAGTCATGGAAATCTCCGGAGTCTCATCAAGTGGATCTCGTGTGACATACTCTGCTCTTGTATGCAGGAGACTGTTGCCTTTCCTGTTTTGGGCATGTCCAGAACAAACCTCGGTTTGATTTAATATGAGTTTCTGTCATGGAATCCAACAGAGAATGCAGATACTGCTGGTCACTTTCACAGTTGGAAAAGCCACGAGTAGATCCTTTGAAAGGAGGGAGTCAGGTGGAAAGGACAGCCCCCTTTCCATATAGCCGAGGCCAGGCGTCAGGCCCTGGTGTGAACTGCAGATGGTTGAGAACAATTTGTCGGGGTTCTTTTTTGGAAGTTCGGAGCCAAGAGAGCCAAGGTCTGGTATTGCGGGATTCTACCAGCTTGACTGGCTTTGAACTTTGTGCCAGTGGTTGGTACTGATCCCAGACTGTCCAAGCGTGACCAAGGCAAGAAGGCAAGACAATTTCACTTGGCTCGAGGTCTGGACTTTGCTTTGGGCCCATCTACTCCGACCTTGCAAGGGTATTGACCGATGCACTTTTTGAGGCGAGGCAGAGCGTGGTAGAGCCGAGGGCGCCTGGCGGAGCTGCAGACAGTTTCGAGCTCCCAAGATCTCTGCAGGGTTCGGAGAAGCTAGTAGCTTCTTGCTCCGTTCGTAGCGATGCCCTTTGTTTCTAGTAGCTTCTTGTTACTAGTAGTAGTGCCAGGAGCTACTAGTAGCTTCTTGCTCCTAGTAGGGAGTTCTTTGTTGCTTTTTGTTTCTATTGGTCTATCACCCCGCGAAGCCGATTTTTACGGTGTCAGAACTTCTATGCAATGGCTTTCCGAAAGGTGGTGTGCAGTAAGGCCATGCAAGGCAGTCAAATTGTTGTTTTTTGTTGTGTTTTCTTTTCCAGGCAGTCAAGTTACCAAGCTTCATCGTCCGCTAGCTCAGATGTGAAGAGCACGTTGTGGCACGTGGCTTCTTCAGGTTGTGCCTTGCGGATCTTTTAGACAATCCACACAACACCTAAGTGTGACATGTGACGCCTTTCCAAATGCAGCCCCGTTTCCAAACAATTCTATATAACGCCTTCATTGTATATAGCCGGTTTTTCGCAGCAAAACGCCAAAACAACTCAAAGACCTCAGCCCAATTGCAGACAAAGACACGGGCGACATGTAAAGCGCCTCGTGTACGTACAAACGTTTCCACTGGCACGACAAGTCGTACGAAACGGAGTACACTATATAATTATGTAGTACAAATTAAATCAATCCAATGCATTTCACAATCACCTCATGCGTGCACTCTTGCTGATCAGTGACAAATCTTCCCCTATATGTCTTGGCTGTAATCTGTGCTTGCCATATATTTAGCCACATTCGTTACATAAATTTGCGAAGACTGAACACAGATTGCAAACATGATTTGAAGTAAGATATGAGAGGTGGTTCTTCAGACTTGATTTGTCAAGGAGGACTTCCACATGATCTACTCAACGGAAGGACACGCAGGCCAGCGTTCCGCTGTTGCCATTGGAGCCTTGCAGCAAGCCTGAGCCTGAGGTGTTGCTGTACCTCCTGTGCTGCTGGGAGAACAGTTGGGGATCACCACAGGCAAGATTGCATGCTGCAGTTGGAGGGGCTGAGTCTTCAATTCATAGCGTTTTTCAAGCCATCTACAGCTTGGTGTCATACTTTCAGCATTTTTCAGCCAGTTGGTCCAGCTGTACTTGCTTAAAAAAGAACTCTACAAGTACGACATACTGCTATTACTTTGTTCACACATACATTGATGTTTGTTCACACATACATTTGTGCTCAGTATATAAAATGACCGCCGGAGCCAGGGGCTGCTACATTCATTTTGGGAAGAGCCACAGAGGAGTTGGCAGCAAAGAGATGTGAAACGAAGCACGAATCCTTTGTGGATTTGCCTGAAGGGCCGTTGGTGGGTGACAGGTCTCTAGCCAAATGACTATCTCGCAGTCACAGTCTGCGTTAAGCGCATCTCAGTTGTTCAAGATGTTGGCTGGTGCAGGACTCACATTGGAGTGAAGAGGCTGCGGGAGCAAGACACTTGAAATATGCCGCATGCCAAACACGCTTTCATGCGATTGGGAGACTATGCTGATCTTCTGTAAGCGCAGCAAGAGCCACTTTGGCCGTTTCGAGAACACTGTAAGTGAGGGAGCCAAAGGTGCTTGAAGATTGATTAATCAAGTTTATTCTCCAAGATGGTATGCCAATGTATGCGAATTTTCTGCGGTCTCGGTCTCTGCGAATATTTGTGATGCCTGTAATGTCTCTCGACCAGAAAACACCGCAAATAGCTTCGTGATGGGTTCCAGTGCCCATGTGCATAAAACACCGTGCCAGCTTGAGAGGCCCAAAACGCGGCAAATGGCAATGTTAGTGAATGAACACGCATAGAACCACTTAGTTTTTGAAGTTTGGGAGGGTTCTGGAACAGTGCCTTCAAATCCAGCGCTATTTGCACATTGCTTTTGGAATACGATGTCTCCCAAAAATGCATCAAATTGAACCCTAAATCAACGACGAACTCGATTTCCGCCATCACCTCAAAATCCACCAGTCCAAACCGGACTCCTCCACGCAGGCGCCAATGTCACATGTCTGATGTTGCTGAAACACGCACCAAACGAATCGCTGTCATACCCGTCATCCTCACGGCGATGACCTGCCTACCTGCACACTGGTACGTATGTTTACATTCGCAGGCATCCGTGTTGAACACTTCGTCCTTGACTGTCTTGTGTGGGCTTCCCCTGTGCCGGGAGCGGATGCACTTTGGCGGGGGGCAAGAACAGATGAGACGAAAAGACCAGGGAGACACAGATCAGGGAGACCATGAGGACCATGAGCAGCGAGACCTTGCAGGCACTTGGAGAACTCTTCGGGGAAGCAACTGAGAACGACAGGTTCGGAATGTGTGAAGTGTGGTTGAGCAGCGTCCAGGTAGATGTCTTGAATGTAAAGAGCAAACGAAGCAGCCGGTGGCCCCCTTTTAAGGCCATATGCGCTAGCTGATCTGGCGCCGGGTGCCAATTGAGGGAACGTGTATTGCAGTGTGGCATGGAACTTTTTGTAGGTTCACAGAAAACGTGTAGTGAAGTATAGGGATGTGCAGAGGAGCTTCAATGAGATCGATGGAGGGAGCAACGAGGACAACACGTCTGCCTGAGCTTCCCACGTCTGCCTGGTTGAGTCGCACGACATGAGCAGAATTTCGGCACAAGCACAAGGTGCGTTCGACGCCACGCCTTTTGGACCATGGCAAGCCCGTGTTTCGCGTATGGAGCTGGAACTCCAGGAACAATCATTCCGTTGCCAAAAGCTCCTACACAAAAGGCTGAGTTGCACACGGCTGACCGAGTCAACACTTCCACTGCTGCAGCTGTCACATCTGTGACTCTCCTTGCACTTCGTAGTCGTAAACATGCGAGAAACTCGGCCACAGCCTTTGATGTTGATTTTTGGGAGTATTCTCTACAATCCATTCCAAATCACCCAAGACACCAATTCCGGACTCCAGGCTTTGTATAGGAGAAGTTTCGAGAACATTCACTGAATTCACCAACTGAGGAAGAGCCTCACGGACTTCAAAGACCTCTCTTCAGGTGGTGGGCCCGGCGGTGGCAGCTGCCGCCGCAGCAGCCAAAGTGGCAGCTGCAGGGAAGCTAGCAGCGGCAGGGGCAGCCGGCGCAAGTGTGGCTGCCGGCATTCGAACCTTGAACAAGGACAAATTTGCTGCTTTCAGAGGTGCAGGTTCTTTGAGGTTGTTTTTGAGGCTATGAGGCTCCTGAATCTGTCATGTTGACGTTGAATTCTTATACAACCTGCCCAGCGTATTACGAGGGTCCTTTTTGTAGCCCACAGTGTGCTCTTTCAGCGAGCATACACTGGGGGTTCTGTGAACTGCTGAAGCGGAGAGTGCCTCCCCTGAAGGAAAGACCTGAGCAGCACAAGAGTGGCCGGCGCCCGAAGATGGTAGTTCTGGGGACCGGCTGGGGCTCGGTCACGTTTCTTCAAGGCTTGTCTGATGATATTGCGAAATACTACGACATCACAGTAGCCTTCTGGTTGCATCATATTCTGAAACAAGCAAAAAAAGAAGGTGAGAACGGTGAGAAGGTACCATAAGTTCCCTGCGCGCAAAAGCAACACCAATCTTGCGGCGGTTGTGTCAGCACATTAGGAGAAGTGAAGACACGTGGTGTGAGACATGTTTGAGGAGCAATGCTGCCGATGTCCAATACTTACTTCACAAAGGTAGGCCAACCTCTGTCAGGAGTTCTGCATTGCCTTGGGTTTTGCTTCTGTGCCAATCTGCATGAAGTAAACACTGGTTCGATAGGCCCGACTGGTTCGAGGCTAGGTTGGCTAGGTCCAGCTAGGTAGGGTGGAAGCGCACTGCAGAACCCCAAACTCTGGACCGGGAGGTTGGATGAAAAGGAGGAAATTGGCCATGCCTCGCAATCTGAGGTGTCACCTCGCAACTTCTTTTTGAGTCTTGAATGCAGTATGCACCGTTGCATGTTGACAAATCAACAAGTCATGCCGGTGTCAAAACGAAAGGAGTCATAAGTTCTAAGTTCTAAGTCAAGAATTGAAAGAAGGTGCGACCTTTGCCATTTGAAGCAAGTTGGTCAATTTGTTCCCGGTTGGTGTAGGGCCATGTGCAACAGATCCGAGGTACACACCCCTGCTGCCAGCAAGTACGATGGGATCAATTGAAGAAAGGTCGATTGTCACGCCCATTCGGCGCGTGCTCAAAGACAAGGTGGCTTGCCTTGCGTCAAAACAATCGTCTAGACACTGGCACACTTCAGGAGCAAGCTGCATGAGTGGAAAGCAACAATGTTCAAAATGAAGAGACACTGCAGTTCCCTGTGGCAACACTTGTAGTATTGACACTTGGTATAGGTATAGTATGGGATAGTAATTACCAAATAACTATATGTCATATATGTTGGTTGCATGTGTTCCCAAAAGTATGATCATTAATGGTCATTGAATCTGGTAAGGAATCCAGCATCCCTTAGCTGGATTGGATAAGCTTGCAGGCTGACTTTTTAGAAGCCAAATGCGAAGAGATTGATGTGAGGAACAAGAAGTTAAAGCCGCTCGGCTTGGCTGTGGGAAACTCCCTCTACCTCTATATTGAAGCTGTAGAGATCATAAACAAAATTGTCACAGGACAGAACTGTACAACCTGCACTAAGTGGCGGATCCAAAATTTGTCACGGCAAAACGATTCATATTCGCTAGCTGTTTCTGTTCAGCTTTGCTCGACCAGGTGTACCCGTGCGGGGACACCTGACAATTCAGCGGATATCGACTACGAACACTTCCCACAGGAGCAGTTGCTTTCCTGAAGACCCAAAATATTCACCAATTTGGTCCAGCCATCCGAATCCTTTGAAATCTTCCACCCCAGGCCCTCTGCATTTGTTCCAGGAAGAAGTGGAGGGGAAGATCACCTTTGACGTTGATTATGACGCTTGGTCCGGCGTCAGATGGCCAAATTCAGTAAGATGAGACTCGCCAACTCGTCTCAGGGACTCAGAATGCAGGACACGTACCACTGACTGCGGTCAATGCAGGATGTGCTGATCTACGGCATTGGTGCCCAGACCAATGATTTCAACACTCCAGGAGTCCAAGAGCATGCTTTCTTTTTCAAGGAACTCACGGATGCTCGGAAGGCTGGGACAGCACGCCAAACAAGCGCTTCCCTGCCCCAGGATCATTTTCTGCCACTTTTTGCCAGCACCCAGACATTTGCCTTGACGACCGGTGTGCAAGATTCATGATAGCTCCTGCCAGGTGCGGGACAAAGTCACCGACCTTTTTGAGAGGCACAGTGTGCAACTGTTGTGAGGACCTGGCATTCACAGGGCAGCAGCGGAATCGTCAGGATGGCCATGACAAGGGGTCGGGTCGATAATCAAACGGCCCAACGGCTCCTCCTTATCATCCCCATGTGGAGTTGCTTTCAATCAACTCTGCTGACCATGTCCTGGCACTTGGCAGGGCTTCTTTACCAAATGCAACCGAAAAGCAGAAGAAGAGGTGCGGCACAGTCCTGCTAGGAGGGAGACTTCGTTTCAACCTGAACTGCCATGGTCTCAGGTTGGTTTTGCATTGTTCCGGGTTTACCAATGCAATTCATACTCCATTCCAGCGTTGTAGATCATGATGTCTTCTTTTGGGGGGCCCTGGGGGCCTCCAAAAGATGACTAATTAACGTCATCTAAAGACTGGGATGTTTTTTTTCCATCATTCGGAAGCAAGCTCTGCATTGCTTCGACATGGTTGTGCTGACCTGTGACGAGCGGGTATTTGTCGTATTTGGTTGTGTTTTTTGGGGGGTATTCTTCTGATCTAGTGGCACCGCCACTTGTAGGTGGCTGAGCTTCGTGCCACTTCGTTGCACTATGACAAATTCCTTCAACTTGAGAGTTTCAGGTCCACAGGCTTACTACCGACGGTCGTACCCATTGACCCAAAATAGCCTCTGGTTGGTTCAGTCTGTCCTCTTGTCTTTGAGGCACGGCTTAGACTTGACCGGGCTAAGGGTGGTGGGCGGTGGACCCACAGGTGTGGAGGTTGCCGCAGACATGGCCGATTTCCTCGCAGGGGATGCCACTGATGCGTGTCGTTGAAGAGAGCATGGAGTTTGGGAGTTATGATTTGATTCTTTACATCTGAAGCAAGTGGCCTTGAAAAAAGGGTCTTGCATTGGCTTTGTAAGGATTTGTACCCGAAGCTCATGGAGTACGTCAATGTGAAGCTTGTCAACACAGGCCAACAGTACCCTCAGTTCAACCTGAAGTTTGCTGCGGTTTGGGCTTATGGGCTACAGCAAGTCGAAGCTTCTGCTCCCAAGAGGGTTGCGGTGCACTTCAAACTTCAAAAATGTAAGATCCTTTCTTGTTCACGTTAGGTTAAAGGCCAAATGGCGATCAATTTGATCACAACATATCAAATCTATCCCAGATCTCCATAGCATTGTCAGTGCTCCCGGATCTCCCTAATGCTGAGAAGACGACCTGTTACATACTGCTCTCCATGCCTGTAATATATATATATATATGTAATTATATACGTTATATATATATATTGAACATGTATATGTGAATTGATTATAGTTGTTTTGATTCTCTATATGTATATATATGATGGAACCCCCATCCTTTCTACCGCTCCAGCTCTTGATATTTTCTTGCAAAAGGACCGGCAGAACTCACTGAGCTCTCACAGCAGGTGACTATTTGTTGTCCACCTATGACCGTGGAATCTCCGAGAAGTGTGTCGAGGTCTTCGAAGAGAAAGGCGGCAAACGTTCAATCGGCAGATGTGAAGCCTTCCTTCCCGCCTTTGTTTGTTGCCTTCCAATTCTTTAAAGGAATGCTGGGTCACTTGTGGCTGCTCCGTTTGTTAGTCGGGTTGAAACACAGCAAGGCGGCATTTCAAGTGGCTAGCCACATGGAGGGCTGCAGCCCATCACATATCCAGATGGAGTCTACTATCAGAGTCCCAATAGCTAAAGGAGGACTATGATTGATCATGTGGAAAGGCGTGGAGGTCTTGGCTGGCTACCGGGTCACAGAGATTACCAAGAAGGAGATTAAGATGAGGCAAAAGTCAGGAGAAGAAATGCGCCTTGGACCTTGTTTTACTGGCTTACAGGGTGGCAAGAGAGCTGCGAGAAACTGCACCAGAGGATCCAACGAAAGTTCCAGTCGGAGCTCCCAAGAATTGCACCGCTTTGTCCCCCCTGGCTGTGGTGAGATCACACAGTTTGCACTAGACTTTAAAGGTGTGATTGCTTGTTCCATCCTTTTGCTGGGATGCATGATGCTGTTTTTTTGGTTTTCTGGTTGCTTTCAGTTCCTTACACTTGCCTCTCACTCCGAGAATCTGTGGTCCTTCAGTTAGCGTCTAGTTTTCATTATTTACATGTGCCCCTCCAATCTGAGATACCATACCCCATCATACCCCCCCTTGTTATTTGTGGTGCTTAGTCCACC